AGATGACGTTTGAACTGTGCCTGTAAAAGAGAGCACAGAAATGGGAATGTTTTTAGTTAAGTCTGCTTTTTGAATCTTATTTCCCTACATTTGAGGATTGGTGAGATTAATTATTTTGCAAGCTGCCCTGGGCCAGGAGGAGGAGGGAGTGAAGATCTCCTTTCCTTTCTCAGCTGCCTGCTGCCCTCTTGTGCAATGATCTGCTCTTCACACTGGTGCATTTCCTGGCCATTCATAAAGGCAGTGATAAACTTGGGAGTTGCTTCTCAATCTGATGAAATGCTGGATTTGGGGTGTCAGCTTCACACACTTTACAGTATTTGACCCCCAGCAGATCCTCTYTTCATATCAGCTGGCTCCAGCCTTGAACCCTTTTTCATTCATTGTTTCTACATTTATAAGAAGTATTTAAGGGAGGCTGGAGAGCGCGTTGCTCTATCACAATGTTTTTCTGACCTGTTGTGAAAAGCTTGGTATGAAATGTACTCTGTCTTCTGCTACAGCTGGTTTGTAAGTGCTTCCCTCACTTCTTTGGCTTAAAAGTGAAAATTTTTCTGTCTTCCTTGTTGTCAGGATGTTCTTCTGTGGATGATGAGGAATTAAACTTTATGTGGTCCASTAGCATTATGTTCAACTCTTTTTCCATTTTAATGGAATTGTGCAGCTGATGATCATATACCGTGTGTCTGAAGACTCCCTGATAATAAAAAGAAAGCTGACGAAGTGTAACAGACGGAAGAAAGTGAACTGGAGTTGGGAGAAGAATGGGAAGAAGATGGAGAATCAAGGGTGGGCATGGAGAAGAGAGAACAGGAAATAGTAGAAAAGTTTAATAATAGGGTCGTCTTCAGAAAGTGAAAAGCAGTAAACATAAGAAAATCCTTTACAAAGAGTCTAAAAAGAGCGGGAGAATTCCCAGTAGGTTGTTGGACATGAAGGGGCACACGGACACAGCACCCATTTGCACAGCCTCTGGCAAAGGGAAAGGACTGCTTGAAGAGCCTGACTGGTATGGCAAAGGATATTTTTAAACATGCTCTTCATCATGTTATGGGAAGTAGTGACCTTAGTTATGGTGTCTGTGGGGTATCTCAAACCAAACTGTCATGGGAATGATACTCGTCTTGCTTGTTTTGTATCTGGAGCTGTTTTTAATTTCCAAACTGCCGTCGAAAGGTGGCAGTACAGCAATTGAGATCTGCAGCTTGGGCAGAGGTGTTTGAATAGGAAATCTTCCCTTTCTCCTTTGCTTCTGTTAAAACGTGGATCATCAGCACAAGTGCACAGCAGAGAGCATTGTAAGGAAGTTTTGTAATTTTCTGTGAGAGCTCTTCCCTGTGGCTTTTCCCACTGGATGGAGGGATGCCTCCTGTCTTTGCACACAAGGAAATACCAAGAGCCACATATAYTGGGATTCATCCAGAATTCACTGTTAGTCAAGACTGAGTCATCTGCTCACTCAATAAGAAGCAGAAATATTCAGGAATAATTCAACCCACTTCAAACCAGGTGTGTGATACAGGTGGCTAGAAAACCTACAGGGAAGACCTTTTGCCCAGATAACTACAAAAAGAAGCTTTTAAAGAAAAGAATAAGAGAAAATTGTGTTAGCTAAAATTGTTTAATATCACAGGCATATAAATTAATCACACCACATAGTCCTTAGTACAAACATTCCCTTTACAAAAATACAATAAATAATTAAATTAGATTGGTCATTGTTATAAAAATAATCTTCTCAGGAAAAGTAAATATTATACAAAATTGTATATACCATGCTAAAACACATCTTGAAGTGCCTACAAAGGGCACTTATGATCAAAATCATAAATATATTATAAAACCTCCCTGGGAGGTAGTGAGCTCTGATGGCTTACACTGTGTACTCTGTTAAAGTAGCACATTGTTTCTGCAGAGTGCACTTAGTACAAAGACAGTTCATCTTACAAAAAGAAGTAAGTCATGAGGGTGTACACATTTAGATTTGTGGTATCTGGTCCTCCTCTAGGGTCACAAGCTCCTCCCGGGGCATCTTCATTTTTCCTTYTGAGAACGCTGTTGCAGGGCAAGATGATGTCTTCTTGAAGACTTGCACAGATTTCCTGTTCTTCAAATAGCACACTCTGAATAACACACTCAGTCTTTGATAACTCTAACAAATCAGAGTGAGCATGAGGCCACACATCTTGTAAAATCAAAGCATATTTGAGGCTCACAGAGTTGCCCACGGTGCTTGTGGTGACATTGCCTTGAAGTGTGGCGTTAGCCAAAATCAGCTGTGATAGTTTTGTGATAAATATTGTCCATACATAGCTAGACTAGATTGTCCAGTAATTTTAGTTTTCAGTGATATCTGGGAGCARTTAACCCTCTAAAGTTACATTCATTACAATTTCTCATTAGTTTTTTGAATACTATGAACAAGCATTTTAAATTAAGTTATTCTGTAGATACAAGAAATAGCCTCAATTAAAAAAACAAGCATAATATGTTTTATACAAGAAAAAAACCTGCTTTAGCACTCTGCTTGATGTGATAAGRTCCATAATTCAAAAACAGTGAAGCAAGTCACTAAACTTGATTACTTACKGCATTATATACTGCCCCTTGTACAAACCCCAGACTTTGCTGAAGTGTAGGCAGGAATAACTGGTTAGCTTATGACATTCCTGTAGGGAATTGCTTTTCGTTCATGAAGTATCCACCCAGCTACAAAAGGTGCTTCTCAATGCTTTATAATGATTGCTAATAAATATGTAATGCAAAAGGTTGTCTTTGTTAGGGCACACCAATCCCATTTAGTCTGCGCAATAAGGATTCTAACAGGCTCTTTTAGAACGTTGATTTCAGTGCACTTAGAAAGTTACTGGAAAAGACATTTACAAATACAGAAATAYATGCTGTCTTCTTGGTGCAAAAATAAAGCTTTTTCTAAAGGTCTTCCTCCAAAACCCTGCACATGCAAATATTCCATTGGCCTTCTACAGCTCACCTAAAAAGGCTCTTAATTCATGAAAAAGGCATTCAATTACACCCCTCCATAAAAATATAAATGAGGAAACATCAGCAGATATGCTGCAACTGTAGGACATTCTTTAATGTTTTACCAGTTGCTTTTACCCAAATCTGAAGTTGAATTTTGCCCTTTCTCTACTTCTGTAACTTTAAAATCTATTGGAGTTGTGGCAGTAGCTTTATGTATTGCTCACCAGTTGGTGATGAAGGGACTTAACGGGTAGATGAGTCAGAAACGGGGAGAGAAGGTGCAGAAAGAACATCATTTAAACTCAGCACTTTGATTACTTGCATATGAGTGATAGTTCTTTTTCGGAATGTTAATTCTCATGCAGTAATGTGGAAACATTGAGGTATGAGAACACTATACGGAGGAAAAGCAGGTTTTGAAACAGAAAAAGGAGAAGAAAAAGATGTTCTAGATCAAAATGGCCATCATTAGAAACAAGGAGAGTTCACTTGGTTTATTGTGCTCTCAAGATCTTCCTTCCTCTGATGTACATTCTTGAGAAGGTTCACCTTTCAGGGCAGTGAAAATGTGGAGGCAGCAAAGCTTTTTGTATTAGTTTTCCTTTAGGTGAATGACATTGGTAGGAATGGAAATATTTTTAATACTACCTCATTATTTTTGGAGGTAACTAAGCTTGTCATTTTCCATCTTAACACTAGATGCAGTTTTCCMGTTTCCTCTCTCTACCACATTTCTACTAAGTAGAGAGAAAATTAGATGAATGGTTAATTTTTACTGGAAGGCTTTATGCTGTTTTCCAAGATCAGTTTCCTCATGTAGGGTTAATACCTTTTTGGGGTAAATTAGCAGCTACTGCTCAGATGGAAGAATTCAGAGGTTCAGAATCATTGCAAGCAGAATATGGTGGTATATAATTATGCTGCTAAAATTAGTTCTAAGTGCTGTGATACTCACTTTTAAAATAAAAAGTTTGAATGATATATCTGGCCATAGTTTCACAAAAATGTTCAGGATTCAGAAACTGTATAGGAAGGTTTCCACATRACAAAAAATTTGACAGATTTGAAAKAAAAAACAGCCAATAATACTTAAGCTGTTAAAATTAGTCAAGAGGTGAGAGAATGGATAGTGTYAATGGTACATAAATGTAAGGGCAAATACTGTCATCTGAGAAAGAGCAATATCCTTTAGAGCTTCTTCATTCTGACTAATTTTTAATTACTGTATGTCTTGGACCTTATTTAGTAGCTGGTTCTACCAGTCAGTCGTGTCTCTGCTATATCTRTTGCATTAAGTTRGGGTGTGTAGGTGTAATTCCATCTTCCTAAACAGGAATTTTTCCCCCCAGAATCCTCTATGTCCGCTTAGAGCATGTGGTTGCATCTCTCCCTATTAAAACATGTGGCAAATGTGCCATTAACTTCAAGACATTCATCACAGCTGTATGGCATTATTTGTAAATGYTTTTCCAGTATTTAGAAGACAGTTAAATGCAAGATATTTTTCCACAGTTAGCTCAGATACAGTCTAAGAACTTATAAATAAAGCTCTTTGTGTGTGGTAGTATTGTAAATAAGAAAATCAGCCCAAGTAGATTCCTTTGAGGCTTCAAAGCCTCTGACAATCTTTCTGTTAATTTTCTTTCAAAAATTGCAGAAATCTCTGCATGGGATTCAGTTAAGATCAAAGCAAAAATACAWAAGTAACCATCTCATGTATTTCTAGTTCAGTAGAAGGTGACGAGTAAGGCTTACAAGAGCCTGTTCTTGTGAAATTAGAATCAAATTTTCATGGTATGGTCGGGCTAGGATTACTTTTAAAACAACATCCATCTTATGAATACCCATCCAAATAAGACTCCTTAATATTTTGGGAGAAGCTTTCACTTACCACACACAGAGAACACATCATAATAGCCCTGGAAAGTATTTACATTTTTCACATCTTAAATATAGCATAGTGTCTGCTTTAAAAAGTAGATTTTTAGTAGCCTTCAGCTCTGGTGTGTCCTGTATCAATTCTTGAATAGCTGTAAAAACAACACATTGTTAGTAAGGATGTAAAATAAGGGTATCTGTGATGATTTAAAAATGTCAGAAAAGCACCCAGGAGGAATCAACTCTGCTTACCATTTGCATTAGAKTTGCAAAGCTCTTCAAAAACTCTTTGGGGGTTTTCTTCTCATATGATTCACACGTAGACTCACAATGCTGGAAGATAAAGAGAATCAATGCATTTCTAAATTGCACATTACAATCCTAAATCAAACCTGAAGTTTTMTTGCTGAAAAATCAAGAAGGTTGTAATCAATGCCCTTTCCAGCTGGAAAAGCTTAGACACAAGCTATTTCACAAAGGGGAAGGATTTAGTAATGACATCTTTAATTTACATTTTTGCAAGATCCGTGTCCTGCCAGCACATTGTGTGGTTGCCAAGTACGTGCATGCGATTGATTGGGATCACAGGGAATGCCTCTACCAAAAGTGCAAAAATTGGTATTTTTCATTTCCAAAGTCATGAAAGGCAGATTGTTTTTTCTAACTATTTGCTTTCTACAGTTGCCCCATTGCAGCTGGCATCTGCTATAGAAACTAAGGAGCAATGATGATGATTTATGAGCACTGTGAGGAAATCCTACCTTTCCGGGGTCTTTGTAGGTGAAGTTCCTCACGCGTYTGATGGCTTTGGTGAACATTGTATTCTCTTGATTGCTCACTGGTTGTAATTTCTCGATTTCCTTCTTGAAGCAGGTTACAGCTGTGTACAGGCATCCCTCCTAGGGCAGGAAAAGAAGGAACTGTTTTCAAGTTAATGTTGCAACCCTTTTTCCTGCATATGTTAGGCTGTGGTCCTCGTGCAGAAGAAAGGATCCAGGATATTAACTGAGAATCTTCAACTGCACCATTTTTGTTTTTTTTTTTAAAGTTAGTTTTGATATGCAAGAGATCTTGAAGCTTTACCTTGCATTGTTACTTAGGTATTTCCTTAGGTATTCCTTASGTGTTTCCTATTGGTTATTAATCATGACAGCATTTGAATAAAAACACTGCTGAAGAGTAGATCAGTTAYGTGTAGCAGGTTTGCACAAGCATTTTATTTTTAAAAAGTTGTGAATATCTCTTAGTGCTATGTGTGAGAATATACTTTTTTCTTCCTCATTTTTGTGCCCGTTTTAATACTGCCTAGGTAATAATTAAAATTTACATGAACTGTGTTTTCAAATACTGCTGGAATGTTCTTATATGATAGCATTGGAAATTATATGGAAAGTATCCCCAAAACTAACCTCATAGTCAACAGAAAAAGAAAAGCAATGTTTACTGAAGCSAATTTCTAAATTGTTTTCTGTTTTCCCTTATGTGTAAGCTGCTGATTACACATCTTGGAAAGGCCTCAAGGCTATCACCCCTGTTTTGCATAGCAACTGCTACCCAAGCTGAGTCTCATCTGCTTTATGAGACCTCGCTGCGGTTTGCTGCTTGGACACGGACAAGGCAGCCTTCATGGATGTTGCTTAGAGCAAATTTTACTAGCACCATTCCGTATTGGTCAGATAAAACATTTTGTTTTCCTTAAATGCCACCCATTTATGTTTGTTTCAAGCATCTTTACCGTAACCAGCCTTGCTTACTGGAAAAAAAAAAAATGCTACTCATCTTTTAAAAAGATTGATTTTCCAGCTGAAACTGAAAACATTTTTGGTCTCATCCGTGCTGAGCTGAGAAACCAGCATTTCTCATCTGTGCCGCCTTTTCTGTTTTGCTGAGCTGTCAGTTATAGCTGAGGCAACCAACGGTCAGAGCACCACAAGGATTATGGGGCCCGGAGTGTTGTCACRGGCTGAGCACTTTGGGGATGAGCCATGAAAGAGCACAGACCACTGCAAATGTCTGAGCGGTCTAGAAACTCRTGAAATATTTGTATCAGAGGCAGTTGGCAGCAGCACTCTGCATCTGACTCAAGCTAACTTTGCAGATGAGGCTGTAAAGCCCTTGCTTCCGGAATTAGCGATAAGCAGGGTTAGATACGRGTTCAGGATACATCAGCATTGTGTCACTGAGTGCCACTTGAGCTGCAGTGCCAGTCACCTGCAAGAGATCTCATTTGCCCTCCAGGMTGAATCACCTCAGCCCTAATACTGCACTTTCAGCCTCAGTATGTTATCCCTTGAGTTGATGTCCTCTTACTTCTTTTTTCAAAGGAAAGGATACTTCATTGTTGAGTGTACAAGGAAATGGTGTGGGATTGAATTGGGACTAACAGTCCACACAGAGGAACCTCAGGGAAGCCAAACCAGATAGAGATTAACCACCTAATTCTGAATGTCATAATAGGTAGTTTTCTCACTATAATCATCATCCATTATCATCATCATGAAGACCAAATGTGAATCTGGCATGAGCTGGTTATAGTAAAAACATTTTCAARTATTTTAATATTTGAAATTGAGTTATATGAGTGACTTTTTATTAAACTGAATATCAATAGGGTATGATAGCACCTAATCACCCTCAGTGCTGCTTTGGCACACTTTGGTAATTCATATCTTAGTCACCCTGTAGGATGAAAAGTTTGTTCATTTGGTTGGTAGTGATAATTACTATTACCACACTATATTCTTTTGTTGGCTTTGATCAGAAGCTGAACCTGCATCAACTTAATATTCTCTGTCTTCTCTAATATTCAGCGGAGGCACTTAGGACCTCCCAGAATCAGACAGTAAAGCCCTGAGCTGCAAGTGAACTGTTGTCTTCCTTCCTGAGGTAAGCATGACTTCTTTTAAGAAAAAAAGCCCACAACCTCCTTAAGCAATTAGTCACTAGTTGTATTTGCTTAGTTTCAGAGGCAGCAGCAAACACTGGAGTAAAATGACAGCTGATGATCTCCTCCTTTTCACTTTGACACCACGAGTTAAAAGGAGTGTTAGTGAAAAAAGCCCAGCAATGAGTTTGTGCACTGCAGTTGTTTCTAGCAATGTGAGGGAAGGTGTCTGGTTTGGTTATGCTTCTACATATTTTTTGTCAAGTAAAAAATGCACCCAACTGCAAAGCCCAGGAGGAGGCTATCCRAAACCTGTCTGAAATGAGGTGAGTTTTTTTCCCTTTCTTCTTGTAGATACTTTGGAAGGGAATTTGGAGTCCCGAGCATGTCAGATTTTAAGAATGCCGGCAGCTTCACAGCATAGTAATGCATAATGATCATTTTAATACGTCAGTCAAAATTGTTTGCACTACAAAATAGTCAGGGCTCAAAAATTTAAGACAGCTGATAATGGAAGTATAAATTTAGAGAGCCACAGGTTGCTCTAGACCTTTGTTGCATGTTGAGGGATTATCAAAATATGATGCATTTATGGTCTCAGCTTTTAAGACATTGTTAACTATGATTAGCATTTAATTTCACAGTACATCCTGCRTCCTGCCACTTTTGAGAATGCACAGACTTAGTGATTCTGCTAAAATAAATTACTGCATATAAGAATTTCCTAACCTTGGAAGATGCAAAATATCAGCAATAACTAGCGTATCAATAAATATCTGTACTAAAAAAGGATTCACAGAGGCCTGCTCTTGTCTTTTTAACTAGTTCTAAACTAGAGAGAATATTTGTAGATACAGTTTTATCTTCCCATTGATAACACAWCCCCTGCACACAAATAGTCTTAGAGAGAGCAGTGTGACTGCATATGAGAGGAAGCACTTTGTGATGTGGCCTTGCAGTGCCACTCTTAGCATTTAGTGCAGTGGGGGGACCAAGGGGGGCAGCTCAGCAAGGCTGGAGTTCATGGCAGCTGGAGGCACTTCCACTCCAAATACCTTCATTCTCAAAAGCACTGCTGCACCTCTGGATCTTGTATGAATTATCCCTCTTAGCACTATTTCTTGAATGAATGGAATGCATGCAATTCTGGATCTGTTGGTGGGTTATGATACATAATACACATACAATAGCAACCTAGTAATAAAGATGCTGAAATAGAAACGCTTCTGCCATTAAATATCCAGAAAAAGGAACTTCTGTAAAGTAYTCATAAAGTCAGTATTCTCTTACTCAGTCTAGCTTGCATTAAGAGTACTGGGTCAGAGATGTGAAGAAGACATCTGCCATTTGTCAATGGAATAAACCAGTACAAAGTCAAATAGATATAGTTATGAAAGTAATGTTAAAGCAGTCTCACCACAGGGTTTTCTGGAGTATGCAGCAGTTCAGCATCCTAAAATAAAACAAATCTAGGTTAGAAAAATTTGAACTTTTGAAAGTGATGTCCCTCACAAGATACATACTAAGCAATATGTAATGCTTGAAAGTAATTTCAATATTATGACAAATACCATCACTTACCTTATCTTTCACTATGGTTTCTAAGTCTCTAATTGTCTGTTGCATCTGTTTGTATTTTACTGCTYTGGGTGAAGATGCAGTCAGCACCACAATGGAATAGAAGAAAAGCATGCAGMAAATAATCATCCTCTTCATCCTGATGAGTTCTGTTTTAAAATGTGCCAGGAGCAAAGTTGCGATGTGCAGGTGTAACACTCCAGTGTGATCTGTGCTCAGGTATGCTCTGCACCTGCCTATATATTGCTCCCTGCTGGAGATGTAGACCCCACCCATTTCAGTTTGGAAAGCTTTGTAGAATGGATTAATGAGTAACCCTTTTTTCTTTTCCACTGGCTAGGTGCATGTACGTGAGCCTGTGCGTGGGGGGGCAGGGATTGATGGAGTGAAAGAAAATGTGCCCCATCTGCACATTGGACAGGAAAAAAAGAGAAAAGGGTGAATTCCCATTTTCACTTTGAGTCAAGAAATGAATGTACTAAAAAGTAGGTACTTAGAAACCACAGGCCTAGGTAAACAAAGATGCTGCATTTTTTTCCTGTGTCATACAGTGACAAATCTCTTCAGTCCATCTGCAGCTCTTCTGTACCATTCTGGAGAAATATGACAGGACTTCTTTCAAAATTTAAATGTATTTATCTTACTTTGTGGCTCCAAGGGATGGTTATTAGCTTGTTTCCTCTGCATCTATGAACTGGAACGTTTGCATTCTCAGMTTGGTTTCTGTTAAAGCTGTGACCAAAAGCTCATTTTAGCATTTAAACTAGCTGARATTTGCTTTTAACTTGCTTGGAACTGGTAGCAGATGTATTAATAGCATTGTGGAGGGCATCCTCACTGGGGGTGGAGGTTGCAGGGAGAGACATTGTTGTGGGAGAGGTGAATCCGTGGACCACACCCATTGCCAAAATGGGAACAATACTGGAAGAGCAGGGACTAAATCCTGGTGAGTCAATCCCACGGTACTCTGTAACTTGTGGGAGATAAACATGTTCAGTTGCATCCTTCAGTGTCTRGGTTTGAGGCTAGTTTTGGAATTTCATCTTTTCAAAGAAGATGTGATACTGAGACCTGAGAATTCTCTTGGGAATCTAGAAGTGCTCTTGTTCTGGGTAAAATTCAAAAACTAGTCTGTGCAGGTACTGGACTACTAGATCTAGGAATCAGTTGATTTTAAAATCACTGATCCTAATATTTCATCACAAAGAGGGAAAAAACAGCTTTAAATGACTTTGACTTTTACATATTATTATTAATTGAATATCATCAATAYGATTTCAAGGTTCCTGTGTGGAACTAATAGAGAGCAGTTAAAGTCACTTGGGCACCTTCACTGTGGCAAATAAAAAGATGATCATATGTCTTTCAAATTAATCTTTGCCTCTGAAAATCTGAAGGTTCCAGATGGCTTTGGAGGTGCTTTACAAGATCTGCAGAGAGTTCAGACTGCAGTTTCACGCCTGCTAATCTGTGTKATACACTGACATTGTATAAAATATACCTGTGTCTGTCCAGTGGTGAATCTGGGCTGTTAGGCTGGGTCCCTTCATTATTCATTTAAAAATGAGCTTTTAACCTGGTGAGAGCTCTATCTGGCATACKCAAGTACTTGTTTTCAGTGTACAAACAAGTATTTTCTCTGCTGTTAATGTGCTTAAGTAATTTTTCAGATTTCAGGAAATGCATAGCTTAAAGGAATAGATTTTACAGGTGTATGTGTCTATACACATAGCGGCACTCAGGCTCTCATGCATGCACACACAATCTTTCCTGGTGAAAAGGGTAGCTAATCACACCCAATAGAACAGAAATCCTGAAAACTGAAACAGAAAAAAAAAAACCTGTTATCATGTAGTCTGAAATTTTATTTCTTGAAGAAAAGGTAGTGTGAWTTAAATTTTCTTTTTCATTCAGACATGTCTTAAAATTATTTAAGATAAGCAGTACAGCTGCAGTGGGAAGTACAGAGTATCTCAACTGGTTTTATTGGAAAGGTCTGTTAATTTATGACTAAGGTTCATTAATGGAAATCGACGGCATCTTTTGTTTGAAAAACTGTATGGTGATGAAGACTTCTTTTTATCCCACTTCCCTCCATCCCATTCCTGTGAAGTCAAGGAATTTGACTTGAAGTCAAGGAATGAATTGGTGTGAAGTCAAGGAATGGATTGGTGATAATGTTTGCTTCTACCTTTTATTGGCAATATTTCAACTGTGGATTCTTTTGGGAAGCTTCTGAGCCCGGCTACAGTAGGTGATTGTGCTTGCTCATCAGCCACGTAAGCATCTTTRTTAGGTTGAAAGGTTGGGAAYGTTCCACTTGGATGTGTAATATGGMTGTTAGCTGTAGCATCAAGTGGTGGTTGGCAGTGTTCCATGCAAAGAGATCACTGCAGTTGGTTTGCCAGTACAGATAATATCACAAACACTTGAAAACTTCAGTTAATGTGCAGTGTAACTCTCTGTGTGTTTTCAGAAGCACAGGGCTKGAAGGGAAGGAGGCAGACTCCATCAGAATCATGGGAGGTGGCAGGGATCTGTCTGAACTACTCCAAATCAAATCAGTTATATCAGAGAGCAGTTTTCAAGCTGGTGGAGTAAATGGKAAGTTAAAGAACAGGTATTGGACAATGTGGTAGCCTGTGCTTGTTTATCAGGTCCCTAAAACTGCTGCATGGTCTTCTGGTTTGTGTTAGAGGCTGTAAGGCCACAAGAATTGCTTCAAAGAAGGCATGCTGACAGAGAAAGTGAAATACAAGGACAAAGGAGGACTTCCTCTATTGTCTAGGCAGTGGRGAAAACTCCTTGATATCCCTCTCATCAGATAAGAGTGAGCAGCAAGTTTTTTATATACGTCACTTCTCTCTTGTGGCTTAGGAACATGCTGAGTCAAACAATGACACCTTCTCTCACCCTGCCGCCAGCCCGGCTTTGCAGAGATGGCTGGAAAGTGGAAATGTGAGAAACCTCCCATCCCAGCCCCACGAGGCCRAGTCTGCCTCTTTCCTCTTTGCGACAGTGCCACCCCAGAGCTGCATGACTTCGACCCAGAAAGCCTGGTTCCCCCACCCACATTTTCCTTTACAGGAGAGCTGAATGGAGGCTTTTCCCATGGCTTAGTCATTGCTATGGCTCAGCCAAGAAGCTCAGTAATGTACAGGGCTGCTTTCAAAGAATTTTTGTAACTTAGATTTGTGAAATTTGATGTGTGTACTGTCTGTGACTTGGGAGACTGTAGGGAAACAAAGGGAGAGAGTTATGCTGGAAAAATGGGAGAGTAGGAAGAAGATTCCTGTAAAACAGATCTAGAAAAACTAGTCTTTGACACATTTCTGACAATTTTGCAAGTTAATTCTAACCCCTTGCAATCTCATTTTCTTCTTATTAACCTCTGTTATAATTCTTTGGTCTTTTAACTTTGTTTGGAAAAGAGAAAACCAAACCTGGAAAATATCTATCCTTAACTTGTATATATACACTTAACTTGTATAACTTAACTTTGCTATAAAAATCAGAGTAAATATAACTCTGAATGTGGAGACACGGACACTAAATTGTTAATATGCAGTAATATAAAACGATTTACTTTCTCCAGGTTTGGTGAGGCTGCTGTATGGCTGTTCCCCTCTAGCTGCTCTCTCTAGAGCAAAATGCAAGGTACATGCCAGTCCCTCCTCCAGGAAATATGGCTTGATTTTACTTTATTAATACATTCTATATAACTTTATCTTCAAAACAAAATCCTCTTTTTTATTATAATTATTACTGGTAGAAGCAGAAGACTGAATACCATTTACTTCTAACTAGTTCTGCTTTCTGGTTCMGGTGCTACCAAAATATTACAGAATCTACCCTCCTTCATCTATGTTTATCTGTTTACTGTATATACACAGTCTCTGTTAGAATTATTTTTAGTGGTAGTTTTGGTTCCATGTCCTRTAAACTCAATTCTGTTGTTCTCCTGCCCTTTCTTTTGTGTCTTCTCAGGGACAGTGTCATGTACGGTGCTGGGGCACYTCTGGCACAGCAAGAAGTGGTGAGGACAGAGGAGCAGTGTGACATTGCTCTGGAGGATGCATTCTGCTTTGCTTTGGATGACTCCACATCCCTGCTTGTACAGCAACTCCTCAGCTTCCCCTGAGCCCGACTTCYGTGTGCTGCAGACCACTGGATCAGCCCCTGATGCTCTGTTCTTCAGCTCCTGCAGCAAGGARRGGCTTTGGTGTGACGCTGTGTAGCRGAAGGGAAGGCTGAGGCAGAAGCCACCYGTGSAGTCCTCAGGGTGTAGTAATGCAGGTGCCTTCAGCAGCAAGGCCACCTGCAGAGCCTTCTCCTTCAGGCCACTGCTACTCTGTGCCACAGTTTGTCACAATCTGAGGAGCCTCTGTTCCAGGACCTTTTGTCATTAAAGCGAAATCCCTTCTCTGATGCAGAAGTAGCTATACCAGTCTAGCATTSTCTTAAATAGGAATACTAACTGTTCTGTTCCTCATTCGGGAAGTTGCTCTGTGAATTTAATAACTTTATTATGACTTTACCCTTCATAAGTAGATCTATTAATTGTTTACAATAGTTTAAAGAATGCTGAGGTGACCTAGCTCGTGCAATCTTTAACAGATAAAACTTCAGTATCCTTGTAAAAACCGCTTTTCTTTATGATCTTTTTTTCCAGATGCCTCTGCCTTCATCTATAACCAGACGTCTGCAACATACGAATGTGTGTGCCTGTGCATGCAGATTTATCTGTTATGTGCACACACATACAGATTTRAGAAGCTATATAGCACAGTTGTTTGCATAACGAGTTTCATTTCTCTTCACAGGTCAGCACCTTAAGCGAACCTTGGAAAAATTCTTGTGTGAGCAGTCATCACACCCAGGCAGCAGCAGCCGATGGGTAGAGGTTGTCTTGGATAAAAAGCTGAATGCTGTGGTTTCAGTGACTTGTCGTTGAAACCTTGTGGTTTTTGTGTAGGAGGCTGTATAGGCTGGACACATTCGACATCCTTYTTTCTGAGCTGTGAAATCTGTACATCTAATTTATGAAAATTATCTCTGGTTCAATTTTATTCTTTTTTTAATGAAGTCAACATATTTTCCTTGCATTCAGTGGAAACGGTAATGGAAATGTTTTAAGA